CACACACACACACACACACACACACACACACACACACACACACACACACACACACACATTTCCGTTGATTGAATATATATATATATAGCCTACTCCTTACTTCGTGTTTGTCTGACTCTCGGTGCTGTGCAGACCCTGACATTGACAATGTCACCGACAGACGGAGACGATGTTCCCGCTCGATCATCGCCCATTGCGGGATCTCCGCAGGGGACGCCCGATCCTCGCCAGAGCGTTGATCGATCTTCATGTGCAGCGCAGGGGTTGTTGGGCGTTTCACCGCACAGCGGTGGTCCGGAGGTCCGGTTGGGGAAAAGGCATCGTGGTACCGTTTCGCATGCGACTGACAGCGTCGTTGGCGTTCGTGGTCACGAGTGTCGTGTGCCACGTCCATTTGCATTTCTTGTCGCATACAAACGTCAGCTTACAGAGCTGCGCAGGATAGGGGACAGACTCCACAGACACACAGCACGAGCCCTTGTGCCACAGGCAATATAGATGAAACATGGTCAGCAATTGAAGAAGCTTGACCGGCTCCAGAAACACAACATCTGGCGTCGTTGTTCTACTCCACAACGCCATCGCCTCCTCAACACTGCCACGGTCGATTTCAGGCCCAGGACCGCACTGGTCAACACCTTCTCAACTATCCCACCACGTCTGCGGCCGGGCAGGTGTCGGTGTGCAGCGACCCGCGCTGCGGGGTCTGCCGTGCCCTCTGTCATTGCGATGGGATGCGCGACGCGATGACGGAAATGAGTTCTCCGATCCGTCATAAGACTCCCCCAACCCTCCGCTCGCTGAACCCTACGAACCCCCCTGACCGTAGTCAACACCGGAATCGCTTGGCATATAACGCAACGTGAAATCTCGACCGCACACCCGAGATGGCAATGAAGAAGAAATCACATCTGCTACCTCGACACCAAACTCCGCACGGATGGCTGACAAGGACCAATGGAGTAGCCGATCAATAACGTCGCTGACCGGTCCGCGTTGGTCACCCACACCGGCCATAGCGTCGCGAAGAGCATACAACCGTCTCCGACACTCGTCCCACACACACACACGCACGATGTTGTTGCCGCCCGAACAAGGTGTGCCGCCAACTGCCGCAGAGCTATCCACATCGTCAACCGGAGGTGTGGAATCAGGAGCGACAAAGGGAGCCTGAGGCGGCACCGCAAACGAACCTGCCACCGCGCCGACGACTCGTGGACGTGAAATGGTTGGACAACGTCAAGCGTCGCTGCGATCTCCTGAAAGAGAACCGCCTCCAGCGGGACATGGCGGGGCCACCGCATGTGACCATACAGGTGCTAAAGGAATCGTGGCCTCATAGTCCAGCCGTGTAGGCAGCAGTGGGGATAGCAGCAACGGACCACCATACACACCTCCATACGCGGCCGCGTCACGAATCCCGGCCACACCCGGCAGAGAAGCCCCCAACACACCAGCGAAAGACGAAATGGGTGTCACGCCCAGTTGGTTTAGGGATGTGCTCGGTGCACAAACCCACATTCTACAAGTTTATGTGCACAGAACCGGGGGGGGCGGAGGGGTGGAATGCCAAGGTCATACGGCAAGGCATAAAATATTGCGAGCTTGCCATTGACACTGTCATGCGCCGTGGTGAGCCAGTGACATTGATGGTTGATGGTCGATATGACTCTGCCAGAGGCGCGCAGCATTACACTGTCACCGCGATGTATTACGAGACTCGGCTTGTTGTAGGTGTTCACACTCTCCGTCTGAAGATTGAAGGCAAGGCATCGAATGCGCTTGAGGTGCCAGCGCTCGTGCAACTTTTGCGAGGGCTGATGGAGAAGGGGTTGAATATCCGGTGCGTTGTCTCAGATGATTGTGTTGCGCTGGGACCGCAGTTGCGAGCTATGAACATCGAGTGGCAAAAGGATTGCCACCACAAAATAAAAAACATTCGCAAGCACTTCCACAGTATGCTGCAACTGAAGGAAGCGAAGAAAGTGAGCAACCCGCACGAGTGTGTGTCTGAGGCACAGTTAATGCAGTTCACGAACAAGCAGCTAAAGGAGGCGTTGGAGCAGCGTTTCGGACCTGACGTCCTCACACCCGCTGAGGAGCGGATGAAGAAATCGGATTTCGTCGCTGTCGTCATGCGAAAGATGTACCCCTACGGATGAAGGTCGAACACTCGAGCGTTGGAGACTGATCCAGACGGCTTAACAGAGTGTCATGCGCATGAGGTTGGAATGTGGTTCCTCCACGTTTGCCAGTTGTGCAGCGAGGAGGGCGGAGACGCCGACAGTCTACACCGCGACATCATGTTGGTCGTCGATCATTGGGCTAGTGATAATTCGGGATGTGTCGACGGTAGGGAGGTTCTGTGCGAGAAGGTCGGTGGGCGTGCACGATTGCCTTTGTATAGCCGCACGGACACGGTCTACGAGCTCGTTCTGCGTGTTCTCGATAAACAATGCAGCACTAACATCACGTCGTACTACGTCGAGTTTCGACACACATCGGCGGTGGATACTTTTCAGGGCACCATCATCATCGATGCGAAGAACTCGGTGCATTTCGAGAAGTCTTACTGTGCACGTTTGTCGATCGCAGTGATTCGGTGGAACAGTCGCTGCTGGCGTGACCCGGTCAGGTATGTTGCTCGCATTGCTGCGGGCACTTCCATATGTCCGAGACCAGGCTTCCGTCGACACTACGGTCACGAGGCGATCGACTGTTGGGAGGACAGATTGGCGGCGTCCGTGTTCGGTTCGGCTCATCTTTCAGACTGGGTTCGAGAGCTTCTGCGACAGGAGGTTTGTCCTTATGGAGCCAGGCCATTGCCACGTGATTTGTTCGTCAACGGTGGGGGCGACCCAATGGAAGTCGTTGATGATGATGCCTCAGGTTCCGACCATAAGGCGGTGGGGGAGAACCGTGTTTTCATCATCGGTCACGTGGAGGACGATGCGGTGCCTGCATGCGATGATTGGGTCCAGACATCGAGCTCTGAATCTGAGGGTGACGATATAGAGTTGTTCAGCGTTTGACTGGTTGAATGGCTTTATCGTTGACCTGACATTGCTCTGGTGATCCGAATTTCATTGAGCATGGTGTTGTTTACACACGTCTCATGGTGTCTTGTTTGTTACACTATATATATATATATGATTCTACTTTTTCCGTCTCTTTGCGTGTATATATATCTATTTTTGCTTAGTCTGACTTCCAAGAGTGATGGCGAGGTTGTATACCTGCGTTGCACGCTGTTCACGTTCGGGGGCAAACACGAACACGTTCGCACAGGCGTGAACGTCTTTTTTTTTTTTTTTTTTTTTTTTGGTCTGGGGGGGGGGGGGGGGGGGGGGGGGGGGGGGGGGG